TATATATATAAACTGTATGTAACATTTCACCTTTAAATATAAAACAGTATTCCTACTGCTTAAGGCAAGGCAAATTTAAGACTTTTTAAGACCTGATAAATGCCACTTATTATGAAATTTAAGGTCAAATTTACAACAAAACACAAATGAAAAAAAAAAAGCCAATTAGCAACAATTTTTGCCAAATATTTAAAACGAGCTGTAAGAGGCATTCGTTATTATTTAACGAATTATTATTATTTATATTATTATTAAATATTATTTAGTTATTTAAAAAAAACAAATAAAAGTTACCAATTAATTGTAYTATTTGAGACGAATTAGTCATCCTACGTACAATGTGTTAACATATTTAAGACCTCTGAAAGATTGATTTAAGACATTTTAATGCTAATTAAGGCCTTATTTTTGAATTGATCAATTCAATGCCTTTTAAGACTTTTTAAGGATCCGCAGGAGCCCTGTAAAAGCTTACTGTAACCTCCACATCTTGTTCCCGTATCGTTTAAGAGCGACTTTTATTTTAATAACCTTTTCTGGGCAAAACTTCCGGAGACTCCTCGCTGACTTGACGCAATCTGAAGGGAAAACCGTGACGTCAGACGCGGAGCGCAGCGCCGCACGCGCTGATGCTGCAGTTGCTAGGGGCGCGAGGAGAAGAGAGAGACAGGCAGCAGCAGCAGAGACGTGAACAATGCAGAGGAAAATGGCTCCCTCCTGTGTCGAGTATGACGGATAAACGACCCGTGAGTTTATTAAACACAACTGAACGGTTCTGCCTCACATAACTGAGGTTGTGCTCAATATTTTTATTATTTTTGTGTCTCCAAAGTAGGCCTACAGAAAACATAATTAAAATGACTTGTTTTCGACTGGCTTCTTCTTATAAAGTGTTTCTTTACTTAGACAGTGGTGGTCACGGCAAACAAAAAGTTAGCTTTGCTAACTAATAATCAGCTAACTGTTTGTTTGCTAATCTGCTAAATGTGTAAATATAAAAATAGATGGTTACATTAAACAAGTATAAATTAGTAGAAACATATGTCCTGATGCATCTCAGTAATCCAGGTAAAAAATCAAAAATCAAAAATTGTGTAGGTCTTCTGGACGGGTTCTTCTCTAATGAAACGTTTCGTCTCTCCTCCAAGAGACTTCTTCAGTCTGAGAGTTTCAGGCAAAATTCAGGCTTTTAAGCACTGCCTCCATGTGACTGATACTCACATCACATGGCTATCGTTGACACCTAATTAACACCTATTGTTAACAGGGGGTGGAGTGATACTGGTAATAGCAGCACTGTAGGAGGGGGACAACTGAAAACAGAGGCCTCCACCTCTGTTTAATGATGGACGGTCTTTCTTCACAAAAATGGCTTCTTTTACTCCTCTCTCAAACCAACGTTCCTCCCTATCAAGAATGAGAACATCCTCATCTCTGAAAGAGTGACCGCTGGTCTGTAAATGAGTGAAAACTGCAGAGTTCTGGCCATTAGATGTAGCTCGTCTGTGTTGGGACATTCTTTTGAACAGTGGCTGCTTTGTTTCCCCGATGTATAACTGGTCGCAGTCCTCCTGGCACTTAACAGCATATACAACATTGCTCTGTTTGTGCCGGGGCACCGGATCTTTGGGGTGAACCAGCCTTTGCCGTAATGTGTTTTGGGGTTTGAAAGCCACTGGGACATCATGTTTAGAAAAGGTTTAGAAACTGTTTCGTCTCTTGGAGGAGAGACGAAACAGTTTCATTAGAGAAGAACCCGTCCAGAAGACCTACACAATTTTTTTCTTTTTGCGTAGAAGCTAATGCTAACCACTAAGATGACTGTCTCTGTCAGGTCTTCGTCTCCTTCCAGATGAAGACTCAAACCTGTTGAGTCTATTAGCAGACTTAAGGTTTGCAATAAATAAATAAATAAAATTAGCGAAGCTAACTTATCCACTAACAGTTTTCAAGTTAGCGAAAAAGCTAATTTGAGGAGGTTTGGGGGTGGGGTTGCCCGACCAGTTGTCATCTTTACCAGATGCTGAAGCAGCTCTGCTGTTCTCTGTGGACACGGACGTCAAAACCAAATCTACTCAGTGGTTTCATACATTTATTGATATTTTTCTTCCATAATGAGTTGAAAACGTTTACAGAAACTGTACCGAGCAGACGCGTAGCAATGGGATCAAAGGCCGCGTCCATCCAACGCACAACAGAGCTCTGTAAAAATTATGCAAATATTAATGCGATACACATATATTTGTCGGGTTTCTTTTTTATACAAAGTACAGATTACAAAAACATAAATGAGATCTTGTCATGTGCCCCGAAAGCAGCAGCGCTGACAAAAAAACAAAAAAACAATAAAAGGTACAATGACATTTTTTAGCACGCATGTACAGCGCTACACCTCAACGACAAAAACAGTCGCTCCGACGTCGAGGGGATGAAGATGAGAAGCAGAAATAATATCCAGCGTGCTTCAGTGTTTCTCGTTTGTTTTTCTTTGTGATTATGAAGAGCAGAATGTGGGTTTTGTGGTGTTTCCCCTGAAGAAAACAGCTATAAACACACAGGTCCACAGTGAGGTCAGGTGTACCAGCTTGGATTCAGGGCGACTGTAGTGTTTTAAAAACGAGCGCAGCGCTTCACAGATAATCCACTTTCCCAGTCTAGATTGTTAGTTTTTGTAAAGAGTTGGAGGAGAAAAAAAGAGAGGATTGTCGTCCATTTTCTTCTGGTGGAAGGTGAAGGAGGGGCGGATTGTTTACAAAAACGATTGTGACAATTAAGTGCAACAAAGATTAAAAATAAGCTAAAATGACATCAAAAGATAAAACTACATCCTATTGCACAATTTAAAAAGTATGATACATAAAACATGGATACACGGTATTGCATACAAATCAAAGGAAACAAACATAAAAAAAGTAGCTTGTTCTGTCTTTTAAGACGTTAGGATTTTTTGTGGAGCTCGAGGAGAACACTCCCAAGTGTTGATTGTTTTTCATCGCCTTTTGTTTTTTTTTTTTTTTTAGAGACCACTTTTTGTTATGGTCGCAACAGACAAGACTTAAAACACTGATTTGTTCAAAGTGCACATAAGAAGTAAAAAAAACAAACAAACAAACAAGAGGAAACGATGCTACGCTCGCGAGGAAGAAACAAAGGATGAAGATGAAGAAGAAGAAGCTGCATAGCTGGATTCCATTTAAAGCAATGCCATTAGAGAGACACACGGGAGAGAGACGGGCCTAAAGTACTGTACACCATCACAACCCACTCTGACCAGGTGCTATGGGTCCAGTTCTGGTCAGTCGGGTTCACACCTGCGTGTCACCGGGCTCGTTGGTCAGGCCGCCGCCCTGCAGGTAGATGGCCGAGCCGGACTTGGGCCCGTTCTGATTGTGGGCGCGGGCCGAGCCGTTGTTGTTGACCTCGGGCCCCCGGGCATCCGTGGAGATGACCCAGGTGGTGGGCCGCCACTTCTTCAAAGAGTACGGCGTCTTCACCCGCTTCTTGATCTTGTCAGCCGTCCCCAGGGCGCCGTCGGGCCGCACCACGCCCTCCCCTGCAAAAACACACAACCGTCATCACTAAGGGAAGACATGCTTCACACAACTGTGTAAAAAACAGACAGCGTCCTGTTTCAAGATGGCTGCCACGGCCAAAAATGACCAAAGTTTTATAAATCCTGCCATAAGACTTCAAGTGCCTGAGTGAGTGAAAAGTGAGTTTTCATATGTTTTTTGCATCTACTTCTGTGTACTTCAGGWTGTTTTAGCTGGTCAAACGTTCAGCTCCTTCAGCTGATAGGTGCTGTGATGCTGGGTTTTTGACTTTTATGTTTTTCTAAGTGAATAACTTCCTCACAGAACTACACTGAAATTTTGAATCTCCTTAAAATTACCGTAGTTATTTGTGTATAATAATCATTTTTTGAGTGTAAAAAGCATTAAAATACTAATTATCAATAACCTGTCCATAATACTACCCCCACACTTTATGGATGATTTTTAGGGTTAAATTTCTAGTATTATACAT